TTTCCCATTTAAAATGATTGAGACAGATCTTTTTTTGAAAGAACACACCTTATCTGAAAGAAATACTCTGTACAATCGCTGTGCATGTGCAGCACACAAAATAATGATCTTCTGAGTGATGCAAAGATGCTACCAACTTTTCATGTAACTTTTTTAAAATCAGCATAAAAAGTAAAAATGAACTGAAACCTAAGATTAATATTGTTTATGCTGTTGTTGTGCATTTCATATAAGAGTATATATTTTCTAAAGGTATTAATGTTTCTAGAATTTAGTGGTTTGTAGCAACATATTTGCATTTTCCACATGGGAATGACAAAAATATGAGCTATTGTGGGTGAAATGCACTTATGCCGCAGGCAATAGTTGGCAGGCTGCCTGTTTCAAAATTATTACTTCAGATAGTTGTTATATTTTGCTTCTACAATAAATGATTGAGAATGACAAACTGTATTTTTTTCTGCATGATATTATTCACTGATGAAAGGTTTCATCTTTAAAAGAGACAAACTTGTAATGCTTAAAATGTTGCTCTGAGATTAAAAAAATCTTTATTGCCTTTATTAAAAATCCTTCTCCCTTCAACAACATGGCAATATACCTTTTCCAAATTCACTGCCCTTAAATACCATCTTCAGTTTTAATGCCCATCTCATGACAAAAATATCGATGTTAATTATTAATGTTAATTACTTATCTCGAACTATTTTTCATAAAAAGATACAAATGTATTCGTATGTTAAAACTACAAATGAAGAGAAGAATAAGAACAGTTGCATTTTGATTTTTTTCTTGATTCCATAACCTGCAGGTGGCAGCATATGACTTCAATCTGCCTGTTACTCTAAACAGCACAAGAGCTCCCTCTCCACCACCCAGTTCTATTCCAAAAACCCCATCGCTCCTTGAGAAGCACATAGTCACTCCTCGGCCACAGACAGTGGATGTGGCTACTCCTTCTCGCAGAGTGCAGGCAACTGGTGAGCTTCCTAAGAAATTAATAATCCGCAGAGATTTCTTCCTTAAGACCCATAATTCTACAATGGGTTTCCCCCTATAGGACTGAAGGTTTCAAAGAAATTGTATAGAATTTGGTAAATCAGCATAGTTAAATATGTAAACCATTTAATATACTTCAAATAAAATTAATGATTACAACCTAGAGATTATTAGTTTTTTCCTCATAGGAATTTAATCTAATATCAGAGTTACAGGGGGAGTGGGATGGTGTTCTATAGTCAGAGTTATAGTGGGTAGGTCTCTGGACTCATGAGAGGTGGTGGATTGATGTCCCTGCTGCGGACTCTGCTGTTGAACCCTGGCTAAGGAATTATTCCCCATTGGCTCTAGTCCATCTAGCTCTAGGAGTGAGGGCCAGCATTGCTGGAGTGGACCTGAGAGTCATGTGCTCTCCAGTCCACTCAATGGTGACCATCTAGACCATGATAAGACCTGGCCTGATTAGCAACTGTGGCTCCAGTACAGAGATTCACAGCTAACAAAAAAGGGGTCAAAATGAATATTCCAACTGTTCTCGATAGAATATGCTGGATTTGCCCGTTCTGAATTGTTTTGAATAGTTTTGAATTGGCATTGTACTGTGTATACTGAGGCAAGGACTGAATCATATTTAAAATGCTTCAAAAGAGTGGCTGGTTATCGGCTGCAGAATTACCCCGGCAATCTTCATGCTTTACATGGAATGAAACCAAAAATTCCTGATTTTGTTTTCAGATGCATTAAAAATGTAAAATAAAATCAGTAAGCCCATTTCTTGTAGTCTTTAATGTGAAGGTGTTAATTTAAAATAGCTATGTAGATTCAGTGTTTTTTTAGTGATATTTTCACCAATAGGAAAGGGTTAAAGTCTAAAGAGCTAAATACGAAAAAGAAATACCGGAATCACTGTCAAGGAAAGTATATACATCTTTACAGAGAAAAAAAATAGCTTGAATAATCTGAGACTGTCTGAGACGTTAATTGATCATTCTAGTCATATGATATGGCCACTAATTACAGTATGTGACTAAGAAAAAGCCAGCTCTGTCTGGAGAAAGCCATAACATAATCAGGTGGGTAATGGCAGTTTGAAACTTGAAATAGGGCCCATAGTGTGATGACAGAAACTTGGTTGATTTAAGCTGAAAACCTCCAGCTGGAACTTTACCCAGTGAACAGCTGACAGTGAATCATCAGTTTTAAGAAATGCCAAAATTCAGCAGTTCATGTGCCAAAAGCAAATAGAATTTACACTTTGTGCTGTGACAAGGAGTGAAAATGTGAACTCCCAACAGTTTGTTTGCAGATATTCATACTAACCACCTTCACGGGATGCAGCACTTTTTTGTACTAGCTTGTTTAGCTGGTGCTTTTAAAAACAACTTATATTTGCATGCATTCAGTAGCTACAGTAGCTAGTTATTTTACTAGTGTAATTTGAAGTACAGTTCTTTGCACTTGTTCAGGGATGCAACAGCAATATCTCAAGAGGGATTTGAACCACCGTCATTTCAGTTCATCCCAGAACACTACAGAAACCCTAACCACTGGCTCACACCGTTGCCACACTGTGTCAGTGTGGCGGAGCTAGTGCGGGCACGGTGACGTCATCGCCCTCCCTGCGTGTAGCAGGGACCTCAGCCGCCTGGGCTGGGGGGGGGTCTCCTTTAACTCATGCAGCTGGCTCCCTGTTGCGTTATGCCAGAGACCCGGGTCCGCGCCCCAGGTGGGACGAACGGGCGGGGGGAGCGGCGGAGGGCACGAGCCCGCGCGGAACCACGACGGTCACATTGGTAATAGACCGGAAAGTTGCAAAACACTCCTTATCCCATGGAGTGACAGAGCGGTGTGTCCGCTATGAAGTTTCTTCTTATCTTTGTGTTGCTCAACTAGTCTGGCTTCTTCACTTCCTTAAAAACACTTTCAAAGATAATCTTGGATCCCAGACAGGCATGGGAGTATTTTAAATATTTTGAATGGCAATATTTTAAGGAAGAAATATATGGACCATACTGCAAATTGGTGTTTATCTCTGGCCAGTTTTTGCAAATGCATACAATAAATACATTTCTCAAAATCTGTCCGCAAACATAGTTTTTGCATAGATAATAATAATAATAATAATAATTGCTTACACTTATATAGCGCTTTTTCTGGACACTCCACTCAAAGCGCTTTACAGGTAATAGGGATCCCTTCCACCACCGCCGCCAATGTGGAGCCCCACCTGGATGATGCGACGGCAGCCATAGTGCGCCAGAACGCTCACCACACATCAGCTCTCAGTGGGGAGGAGAGCAGAGTAATGAAGCCAATTCATAGAGGGGGATTATTAGGAGGCCATGATTGATAAAGGCCGATGGGGAAATTTGGCCAGGATCCCAGGGTACACCCCTACTCTTTTCGAGAAACACCCTGGGATTTTTAATGACCACAGAGAGTCAGGACCTCAGTTTTACGTCTCATCCGAAGGACGGCGCCTGTTTACAGTATAATGTCCCCGTCACTACACTGGGGCATTAGGACCCACATGAGCCGCAGGGTGAGCGCCCCCTGTTGGCCCCACTTACACCTCTTCCAGCAGCAACTTTAGTTTTTCCCAAGAGGTCTCCCATCCAGGTACTGACCAGGCTCACACCTTCTGAGCTTCAGTGGGTTGCCAGTTTTGAGTTGCAGGGTGTTATGGCTGCTGGCTAGATCTCTCCTGCAAAGAGAGATATAAATACTATAAATACTTTAAATGTATGTGAACGCTACATTGCAGGAAACTAAACAAAACACTAACTAAATATATTTCATATTTTCAGACAGCATGAGGCTTTGTCTATAAGAAAAACAAGAATATATTGATAAATTAATCATTTTTTGCCAGATTGTTCTGAAAAAATATTAACTCCAGATGTTTGATGGTTTTGTGATACAGTACATCTTGTCAGACAGAGCATATTTTATAAACATCTGTGAAAACAGACTTTAGAACAGACATAGTCAGTTTGCGTTCTTTGCTATCCATTGTAGATATTGCTATTGCCAGCTCCTTAATTACTTAGCTGATAATCACCAGTTTTAATACAGCAATTTAGAAGGAGTTAGAGCAGATTGGAAGGGCTTCAAATTGAGTAGCCCTGCTGTAGGACTTTTGAGTCCAACATTTTATTATACAAAAGCTTAATACAAATGTGGATCATGGACTTGCTAAATAAAGTGTTCAACACAAAATATTTTACAGGCATTTTGTGTTTCATTTCTTAGTGTGTGATGTGTTTGTGTTGTAGCTTTGAGACGACTTCTGGAAATGTCTAAATCCAGTCTGGAGTTTGAGATCCCTTCAGCGCTAAGCAGCCTTGAAAGTACATCAGGAGACATAAATTCTCAGGTAAGAAGCACTGGAGCAAAAGAAGGAAAAACTTGCTGTGTTCCCAGTGTTATATATTGTACTTCGATGCATTATTCCACAGAGCCTGCTGCTGTACTGTATGTGTGTATAAATTTGGCTAATTTTAAGGTTTATCTGTATTGCAGAAAAGAAATAAAGGCACACATAAAGATGTCAAACTCCACAAAGATTGTATTTATACAGCCTTTCATGAGTCAAAGGAGAAAATAGTTCCATCATCTATCTCAATATAATCTCTTTTCAGTTAAATAATACTTGGCACTTTCTAAATGCTTTAAGCCTGGATAGTGAAGACAATTTTAGAGCAATTATTTATCATGTTTATGTCTTGCCATTCCTTAAGCGCTGATTTAAAAAAAAAAAAAGAAATTATGTTTCAAAAGTCACTCCTTTGTGAAAGTCGTAGAGGCGGAACATTTTTAAAGAAGCTTTATTTAAATGAACACAGTGATGATTATAGCAGACAAAGCCTTTCTTCCTTCATAACATTGCCAAGTTCTGCCTGTTTTTAGGTCTCTTCAAATTTTCTATAAATTAATTTCCATATTGGCATTCCAAGAGTATTATAATTGTTCATGAACTACAGTACACCCATTCAGGCTTGACTCAAATATTGTGTACAGTATGTACACAATTACTGAATAATTCTATCACAAGAGGGAGAATATCACAAAAAACAATATACAGGATGCAGTACATTAAGAGTAGCAGAATTGTTTGTACCAGTCAACCTCTCTAAATGGGTCTGGATAATTATGAAATACTGTATATCCTATGCAAGTACGGTTAATGTTTTATTTTAGCCATTTAACATTATAGCAAAAAGAGGCATGAACTGCACAGAGCTAATATTTAAATTATTTTAATTCTTTGTTATGTTTGTTGTATTTGTCTTTTTTTTTTTTTTTTTACAATTTTGCAAAAACTTTTTTAGACATTGGAACTTAAAAACATCTCCCAGGAAGATCTGAAGTGGAAATTTGATATGAGCACAGTGGCTGAAGAAATCAATAAAGGTGTTTTCAACCTCTCTCTGGAAACTGGGACTCTGAAGCCCAACCAGTCTGTGTCCATCACCGTGAGCTTTTCACCAGGTAGACTAACTAACTAATTATCCATCTAAGCCGAGCTTGTTTCAGACCACCTATGAAAACTTGTAAGAGCTGGAAGGCAGATGTTTCAGGGTGTTAGGCCCTTCTAAGAAAACTACACGACTCTGGTAAATCAGGCTGGAAGTTTCTTTTTTGTAATAAAAACATGAGGACAGACAGCTCTCCTCTCGCTCACATTTCCAAGAACAGCAACAGGCTTTTATTTTCTGAGCTGAGCAAAAACATCAGTACAAAAACATGCATTTTTAGATTTGGTCAGTTACAGCGTGTTGCTATATAAGGTGCAAACAAGGTCAGAAAGTTAGGCAGTTAGATTAGCCTAACCCTAGGCAATTAACCCAGACTCCTGATTAGAAAGACTACTTTTCCCTTTAATGCTTCTAAATCAAGCGTACTGTAGGACTGGTGAGTTACACTGCCCCTTGAAAGACCGTGGAGAAATTTTGTTCGGCTGGGGATACGCAAACCAGTAAAACAGTTCTTGAGGGCCTAATTCTTAATTCATTAAAAGCATGAGTTTCTTCAGGAGTGTCCTGTTAACACTTCAGAAATTGGTATTTAATTATAAGATATAAGATAAGATCACTTTATTGGCCATACACAATTTCTTGTATTAGGAATTTGTCTTTTCGCATACCCCAACTTGCTCTCCATGAGACACACAGACAGGGAGAGAAGTTTGGGGTCAGAGCGCAGGGTCAGCCATTTATACAGCGCCCCTGCAGCAGTTGGGGCTAAGGGCCTTGCTCAGGGGCCCATTGGAGTAGGATTCCTCTGCCGGCCGCGGGATTCGAACGGGCGACCTTCCAGCCACAGAGGCAGATCCTTAGCCACAGAGCAATCGCACTGCCTCTATCATTATATCATTATAAATAAGTATTGGTAACCTGGTCATTGTTTGAAATCTGAGCACCTATTAATAATTAAAAGCCTGCAGCCATATCACCCTGCAACTCACAACTGGCAGCCCACTCAACAGGTGTGAGCCTGGCCATAGAGATAGGGGCCGGTAGGCGGAGCTCACCCTGCGGTCTGTGTGGGTCCTAATGCCCCAGTATAGTAACGGGGACACTATGCTGTGAAAAGGCGCCGTTTTTCAGATGAGACATAAAACCAAGGTCCGGATACCCTATGGTCATTAAAAATTCCAGGGGGTTTTCTCGAAAAAGGTAGGGGTGTTACTTTGGCCAGTTTTGTGGCCAAATTTTCACATTGGCCTTTATCAATCATGGCGTCCCAATAATCCCCTTCATCCCTCTGTTCTCCTCCCCACTGAGAGCTGGTGTGTGGTGAGTATACTGGTGCGCTATGGCTGCATCGCATCATCCAGGTGGGGCTGCACACTGGTGGTGGTGGAGGGAGTCCCCATTACCTGTAAAGAGCTTTGAGTGGAGTATCCAGAAAAGCGCTATATATTGTAAGTGTAAGGAAAAGTACAGCTTCCTGGACTAGCTTTGACCAAAATTAATCTACATTAATCTAAAAATCCTGATTTCACTTGCTAATAGGTTTTTAACAAGTGACAAGATGTGCAAATTTGTGTTAACAACATAATTAAATTTAAGCTTCTTAAGATGTCTAAGCTGATTTCCAAAACAGTCGTTCTCCTTTGAAAAATAATAAAAACATTTGCCATACTGCTAAAAAGTCATCATTATTTTCAATTATTCCTATATAAACATGTATTGTATTTAGCACTTAGTAATAGCTCAAACAATTTTAAAAAATCAATTTTGCCTTAATCAGTTTTAAGATAATTGCTTTAAATCAAACAGTAGGTTTTCACAGATAATTCTACAGTATGTGGTAATATTATCACTGTCTTGAAATTTTGTTTCTTTCATCTTCATAGCACTTGTTTACATCAGTACCTAGGCCAGTAGTGGGATACCCTTTAGACAGGGGCAGATCATCTTTGTGGTGGTACTTACTGTAAGTCATTCATTGCATAATGCAAATACAGAGAAGAACACAATTTTTGTTATAAAGTAAGTAGTATAGTACTTTTTCAGCATTCTCATGCCTTTTCTTAACATTTCCACCAAAATGCAAAAATAGCAAAACAAAATAGCAAATATATCATATCATAATGCTATAGGGTTTGGTCATCATGGTAAAGTGCTGCATTGGGACGGGTAGGCTCTTAATGTTGTTTGCACATACATTCCGTGACTGCAAGCAAACACCCCACTGTATGTACTGTAAATATCTACTGGAAATATCTAAGTTAAGCACATGATGATAAGCTGTATGACAGCAGTCTTTTTTATATAGATGTTCAAGTAGGATGTTGACATCCAAAGGCTGCAAAGGAACAAGTAAAGTTTTTATTCCATGTAGAAAAAAAAAGAGACACATCGTTGCTAGAACACCCGAAGACACCCAAAGAAGGCTCCACAGCCGAAATGTTGTGTTTCTTTTCTTCTCTTTTCTTCTTCTATTTTTTGGTTTGGAATTAAACTTTACTTATCCGTCAGTGCACCCTGACGTACAGTAGCTTCACTCTCAAACCTCTTCTGACATGAAAACATTCTAGCAGGATCTTGCAGGTCTTCATACTGCTTGTGTAACTAGCTTTCTTGCAAGATGAGAATGTGGCAATGTTGATACTCTGCTTACCAGCTTTGAGTCTCATTGAATATCTGATGAGTTTGGACAACATGTGGCAGCTACTGTAGGACTCCAAGGCCAATGACCAAATTCTTATCCAGATTTTATGAGCTGGAGTGGAACTGAAATCTGAAATGTGTCAGCATCCTTGTGCGAATCCAGTGTCCCAGACACACAGTACATCTTGTGATACTTCCAGTGCCGGCCACACCTGATACAAGTAATTGACTTGCGCAGCAGATCCCCTGTTCATCAACCCTATTGATGACAAATGTTAATCAGCATAATTAGATTACAGTACCTGTGAATATTTTAACACATTTTAACACGTCTTAACATTTAAAATTGAATTATGCAAACTACGCCTTTTGGTTCCTTAGTGTCCGTATATGCGTTCTGATATACCCTAAATTTAGCGGTGCATAATGGTAAATATAATCTGTGTAACTACTATATTTACCTGGGTAACTGCTTTTTTTATCTGCTTGTAAATATACTGCAGACCATGCAATGTTTCTTCTCTCATTCCTCTCTATCTGCTGGTTAAAAATAACTCTGTACAAGTAGAATATTGGAAGATTCTGAAATGCACACACATTGAATTATATTTTATTTGTTCTCTGTAATTTAGCCATACCAGGACAGCACAGAGCAGACGTACCCATCTTTTTGAATGATGATGACATCCATCCCTACACCTTGCTCTCACTCGCTGGTACCCTGAAGAAGCCTAGGATCAACTTTGTGCCTCCATGTCTCAGTTTAACTCCAGTTCCTTTGGACACTGAAGCAACAGCTACTGTCTCCATTATTCCCACAGACTACCACAGGTAATATTCCGATCTTTGAGATGAAAGTGCTAAAACCTATTGAGTGAATCATAGCTTTATGACTTGGCTTGGTAGAACCGTGGGCTGCTAGGCTGTAGATCTGCAGACACAGGTAACATTAGTTGCTCTGGATTTAGAAAAAACTGCATGTATTGTAAAGCCATGTCCGTTACCACCAGAGATATGACAGCAATTTGCTTCTCAGCACTCTTAGGTGCTTGCTAATTACTACAGCTAAATTGAACACAAGACCATATCTATTACCAAGGACTGTACTAGAAGAGAGAGGATTTGACTTGCCACTTACAGTACTTTTAAGTATGACTTTTTTTGGCTTAACTTTTTTTTATGAGGTATAAATAACCTTTTTATGTGCTAAATATTTAAAAAGGCCTTTTTAAAAACTTAAAACAGGAAGATATTTTTTTTGTACTTGAGGCACTGGTAATTCTAATGCAGCCTGGAGGGGAAAGAAATTAATCAATGACATTTTGCTCCGTCTAATTTTGTGTTTGTGTGTGATAATGATGGATATGGTTTGAAGTGTAATTTTATTTTTGTGAAGTTAATAAAATGCAAACACATTCATCCTTTTGCCAAGATGCACAATATAGCAAAACACTTTCCACCATGTTGGTATTAATATTAATACTGAATTAATGGATAACAGCTGCTGGCAGACATTTGATGTGGGAACTGGCACAATAATGTTGCAGTCTGTAAGCAAGATTTCTGTTTCTTGCATGACATTTTCTCATCCTGGTGCCCAGAATTATTAAAAGCCCATCAGGGGAATTATAAGTAATTTGCAGGAGACTTTAGTTTTTCCCTTGTTTATCAGCCATTGAAGGGACAGAGAAATAAACACAATTAGTACTTGATGGACTCCTTGGAAACGGTGCATGTTACAAAGCCAAAAACTTCTGTTTCTCAAGAATTCTGAAACAATTGCTGTTTTATCACAGCAATTGCCCTTTTGTGAATTAAGTGCTGTTTCTAGTTTTAAACTAGAGATCATTGGGTTTTTCCTATGGCTAGAATTAAAATTCATGATTAACTTTAAAATGGAAAATAATTATCAAAGCTTCAATTCTTTTCCTTACTAATTGCAGAGATACTGTGCTTTGCAATCTCTCACGGGACTCCTCCTCTGAACATTTAAATTTATCATTGTGAGCAGTTGCTGCAGAGGAGGTATCCTTAATACTATAGAATGTCCCTCTTACAGTTTTGTAATATGCAATATGCAACAAAAGTTTGTGTTTTCACTGCTTCTTAACATAATCGCTCTGTTCCCTACTCAGGCAGTTGTGTTTCCTTCACAGAACAGGGGTGTAAACTATAGTAAAGAACCACTCAGAATTTAAGGAAAATGTGTGCTGTGTAGAACATTATATTTTGTTTTAAAGAGGCTTTACTTAAAAAGGTGAAAAGATTAGTACCTGAAGATACAAATCTCATTTTGCTATTACTTTACACTGAAGCACATACCTTTCCATTTAGTAGGGAATTACCAAGTTATTAAATGAAAGACTGTTAAAAAAACCTAATATGCCATAAAATGCCATAAAGAAAGGTCTTAATGTAATAATTCCATCCAAGTCACACACCAAGGTTCATTATTACCGTAGGTGAATTACCTGTAGTTCAGTATGTGATAAATGCAAATTAATATCAGTGTAGGTTATTAAAAGGACACTCATAACTAAGTCTTGACAGACTGAAGTGGACAGATTCTAAGAGGGAAAGTGCTGTTGCATCAGATCATACAAATCCCTGATTTACACGTTTTCTGCTTTTCAGGGATTTCTCAATTCAGGTGGATATCGCAGAGATTGAGCAGGAGGATGGCAGCAGGACGAAGCCTTTTTCAGTGCACTTTCCTCAAGGCCAGGACTTCTCCGTTTTGCCCGGAAGACGAAATGAAGTTCTAACCTGCCGCATCAGCTTCAAGTCCTCCAGGCCGGCGGCCTTCATCTCAGACGTCATCTTCATGGATGATGACGGCAATAGGTACCGTTAAATAGATTAAAACTTGAAAGGTTTTCAGGATAATTTCTAATAGGTAATGACAGGTAAGTAAGTTTGATGCATTTTAGGGGACATGTCGTGTATGAGTCGCGTTTCAGCCCACTTAGGTATAGAGCAGGGGTCGGAAAACTTTTTAGAGCAAGGGCCACTAAAACATTTTTGCTAACCTTGCTGGGCCATCTCAGTGAAATCCTCTAGGAACCATCAGGTAGATTTGTGTGCTTGCTTCTCAGCAACTAAACGGCCAAAATATCCGGGCTTAATTTGGACACAGCCATGCGTAAACACGAATGAGGCTGAACATCAGAGAGCCTGGATCTGATTCTTGACTTTGTATTCTTTATCCACGAGAATGTCTGTTCACATACGTACAGTATATGCTACCATACATGGTGATGAAGCCACGTGCCAATGTTTAAATAGCTCCGGTAGCAAATTTTCTCTTGAACAGTTTTTGCTGCCCCTGAAGCAAGTTTTCCAACTGTTCTGATTTTTCCCTCCGTCCGTCTCCTGTGTATTCCGAAAACGTAGCCTGATGTTTTGTCTCGTAATGCCTTTTTATGTTGTGTTCTTTGATCACACCGATTGTTTAATGACAGATAAGACACGTTACTTTTGTGTCCCTTGGAAAGAAAAGGTACTCTTCTGACTATTTGTCGTTAAATTTTTGACCCACTGCATCGATCTTTCTTTTTTTCGACATGGCAGGAATAACTTACAGTTAGCGTCATGTTAGATATAACTTAGAACCGTTTGAAATCATTACCTGCTTTCAAACAAGATAGCATACACTAGACATCATTTGCGTGACTGAGCCAATCACAGTAGGCAACAAAAATCCAAATGAATTAACGGTAGGAATCAGCTGTAGCACAGGCGTATGTAACCTAGGCTAAAGCTGACGTCTGAAAGGCTAAAAGTAAAATGCATCGTGCAATAGGTGTTGTTCTGCAATTGACCGTTAGTGCTGAGAGAGAGGAGCGGGCGGAAGGTTTCCAATATCTGATGCAAAAAGTAACCCTCGAGATTTAAACAGTAGTGAGCTGCTGACCACTCGCAAAAGTTCAGCGGGCCGGATTTGGCTGCTGGCCACAGTTTGCTGACCCCTGGTCTTGAGGCGGAGCAGTGGCTCTGTGGCTAAGGATTTGCGCATGTGGCTGGAAGGTTGCTGGTTCAAATCCCATGGTTAACAGAGGAATCCTACTCCGGTGGGCCCCTGAGCAAGGCCCTTCACCCCAACTGCTCCAGGGGCGCCGTATAAATGGCTGACCCTGCGCTCTGACCCCAGGCTTCTCTCCCTGTCTGTGTGTCTCATGGAGAGCAAGCTGGGGTATGCGAAAAGATAAATTCCTAATGCAAGAAATTGTATATGGCCAATAAAGTCTTATCTTTTTGAGCCGGAGTGGTGGCTCTGTGGCTAAGGATCTGTGCCTGTTGCTGGAAGGTTGCTGGTTCAAATCCCGCAAGTTGGGGTATGTGAAAAGATGAATTCCTAATGCAAGAAATTGTATATGGCTGATAAAGTGATGTTATGTTATGTCAGGAAAACTAAAAATGGACATGAAAGTACCATTGTAGCATTTAAATTCCATTGCTCACTGCCCTCTGCCATCAGGAAAAGTTTCCACCATGTGTCCAGTACAGTGAAAGGATGCTCTGGGATCTTGTAGAAATGAGTCTCTTCAATAATCCAATAATCCCACCTCCATGTGCTGCCTTCTCAGTTTTCTGATCTGACTCCTGTTTTAGGATTTTCTGAAAATATACCGAGAAACTGAGAATCCCCATTCAGATACATTTTCTCGGTTCAAATTCTGAAAATCATGTCACATGTGCCTAGTACTTTAAACCGTAACACTATAACTGATTTATCTGTTGCAGTTATATCTATAGTTTTATCAGTTTATTATAAACTGATATATATAGGACACCATTTTTTCATTTATTAATTGAAAACATAATAACTGTCAACGCTGGTATTAGCAATGTTGTATATCCATTGAGTGGAGGAACTTGTGTTTGTGTAGCCAAGGTCAATGCAGAATTCACTTATTATATTTAATTCGATTATTTAGATGTGTTGTGGAATTTTTCAGTGTCTGCTACTCAGTATTAGAAATGTCAGTTCATGTTTACTTCATTCATGCTGTTGACCAAAATGGCTGAAGTAAATTGAAAGTGAAATATTTATCTTCCCAGCATGTCGTCTCCTTTACTTTAAGTACAGTACTCCTAGAAAAAGGGTATTTAAAGGGCAAAGTTCTTTTAAATCAAACAAATCATAATAATTGTGTTTATTTAACATAAAATAATCATATGCCTTAAAATAATTTTGCAGTGTCACTCTACAAAACACGCATTGATGTACAGTATCATGCCCATAGCTGCATCTTTTTTTAGTTTCAGTTTTAGGCTATGAACAACACAGTGCAAAACATCCTGAATTTCATCTCCAAATATACTAAGGTGGAATCTTGTTAGATGCCAAATGCATGCATTGTGGCTGATGCTTTTCAATATTAAAATGTACAGTATAACCATTCATAATGTAGTATAGTAATTCATTATTTACCTAAAGATGACTATAGGCTTGATCAGATCTGCCTTTTTTACTTTCCTTCAGTGTATTTTTAAACAAGATTTAGTGATTTCGTACTGACTCTTACCTTATTCTTGTTGAATTGACAAAAATCACATGATCCCAAAATAGGATCACATGAAAGATAAATTATCCACAAGTCAGCTCATACTCACATTAAATGATATACTGTATATACCTGAGAGGCATGCATTCGAAAGAGTCCAAATGCACTAAATATTTTATCTAGAGTTTGAGATAATCTGATTCAAAAAAGGCTTGGCAAAATATGCTCACGTGCCAACTCTGGTCTTTGAGAAATACTGTATGTTGAAATGGCTATACATTTCTACATTTCAATCTTAATTTCTTTTAACGAAGGTAAGGAAATAAAATGGTTTAATTCTGAATTTGAGAGACTCATTATAATTAAGCCACTTCTGAGTATTTGTGTTATTTGTTAAATGCTCATGATGGATATGCTGTAGGATTTTAATTTTGTCTGCTAAATTTATTTTTGTGCAAGGAAATTAAAAGTCCATGAAATGCACCTTTTGACGCAATATTTACTCCGTGCATCACAATATTTACTCCATGAGATGAGCTCTGAAAAGAAACTTTGATTTAGTGAATGAGATGTTGACTTTGTGTTTTACATAAAAATGTAAAAGATTGGATTTTGTTTTTTTTAAACCTGTCTTGGATAGACAGTTTCCCACTTTTATATTGAAGAATATACAGAGTATCATGAGTACAGATGTATTTTACTTGGGAACAAGTGAAGGTTAATTCCGCACATGAAAGTGGGAAGAAGCCACAACAGCTGAAACTTTGTATTTCTTCATTCTGCCTTTCAGTGTGCAATTTACCTTTACTTCTTCCTTTGCAGTCAACAAACTGATGCATCTCCACACTCAAATATATTCTACTTAACACATTAACATTCCTCCCACTTCACTGGTGCACAACAGTTGATGTCTTTATTTGATACGGCCTTTTGAAAGAATAATGTTGTTTACTATGGAGAAGGAGCATTTTATTTCTTACCATAGGTGCCAAATATAATTTTTTCAGTGCCTGTAAATTGTGCTCATACAATAGACATAGTGAATTAGACATTTCAGTGAATTATTTCTCTGCATTTTGTTCTCAAATCCATTTTGAGATAAAAAATAAAAATAAAAGTAGTAATCACAATGAGTCTCTGATAGCAGTTTCCTATTTTCTTTAGATTGTTTTTTTATCAGGAAGAAAATATGACATGAATTGAAGGAAACATAACAATATCTGGAATGCTTGGTGTTTTCTATAACCTGCAAATCACATGGAGCTCTTATTTTTGCTTCCCATAATAATGATATACCCCAAAGCTTCTATAAAAAGTATTGTTTGCTATTTGTATTATCTGAACAGAAGCAAAGTAACTGCACTTAGAGAGAAATTATAGTAACTTCATATTAACCATATTGACTATTGTACAAAAAACTTGGTGAGACTTACAGGCACTTTAAAATTTCAGCAACAGGTGTTTTCAGAAGCAGGTTTACATATTTCAGACTACTATTATTATAATTTATGCATGTTCAGATTTAGATTATTTTTCTGAAGTCCCTGGATAGGGATCCTTCTGCTGCAAATATTATCTTAGTCTGTGCTTTAAATTGGGGTTAGAACTGAAATGAATAAATTCTGAAATGAAGTATTTAATATTGCATTGCTTTCCTTGGCATGGAAAAGGATTTTCAATAAATTATGTTTAGAAGGAAATGTTTAAGCCGTGAAGCAAAAAACAGTCTGTACCGGAAACAGCATTTGAAGTGGCTGAAAAGAGAGTAAAAAAAAAGTATTCAAGTGTAAATGCACAATACATTCATTCATTACTGAATTCCCTAGTTACAACTTTCACTGCTGTTTTACCCTTGAGCAAGGAACTTTACCCAAATAGTTTCAGTATCATGCCCATCTGTATAAATGGGTATACATTTAAGTTCTTTTGCATAAAAAACATCTGACAAATATATAATAAGAAAACATTACAGTTCTAATTATTTAGAAATCTAGCTTGAGGGACTTATCCTGTATTTGAGGATTTTGCACCATTGTGTTTGACCTTGACATACGGTAGTAGACACATACTGTACATCACAACCCACGTCACTTTTACAAAATGATTTGCAGAAAATATTTTCTTTTCTCATTTTTCAAGTGAAATACTGTATATGAGTTGGAGTCGGGCAAAGAATTTCCGGCTTCCCATAATGCAGTGTGATATTGCCATATCTGTCCTAACTGAACTTTAGTGTGCAATTTGCCAACATGGGAATCCTGGGATTGAAACATGATGTGATCCTCAACCAGCCAGTAAATGATAGGGCAGTAACTACCATATGAAAACAGAGTGAAATTTCTCAAAGAGGCTTATGACATTGCATTTCAGTCACAAAAGCAGAGATTTTATTTATTATTTGCTCTCCCTGAGAATGGTAATTGATGAGACAAAATCTAATTCACACTTCTTGCTGTTCTGACAGGTTTGTACTTCAAGTGTCCACTAGTTACTATTAAGAATCAGGGACCTGTGGGAGGGATAAGTTCATTTTTACATATTTGAAGCGATGAATGTTAAGTAATGTTTAAAAAGCACAAGTGTGCCCTTCTTATGGTCAGTTTATCTTCTTGAGCACTTTGAACTGTAACTATTTTTTTTTAAATCCTGTATTTTTAAAACAAAATGACCCCAAACTGCCACATTCCTATCACATTTACATATTATAAAAAACACTGATATTTAAGTGGATTGATTCCCTGGCGTTTCAGTAAAGAGAAAAACTCTCTGTATTCTTTTTTAGGTTCAGGCTTCCAGTGGCTGCTGCAGCAGACAACTGTCTTCTCACTGCCTATCCATATCTGGCTCTCCACCGCACAGACCAACATATTGTGCTGAAAAGTGGTGGGTTTTGTTAAGTACTAACTCCTGTCTTCTAGTTGACATATTTGTGTTCTTATCTGCACTGATAGACCTTGAAAGAGAAGTGAAGGAAAGAAAGGTGTCAGTTCAACATCTATCCTGTTGGTTTATGGGATAGGCTCCAGCTGCTCCGCGCCCCTGTATCGGATCAAGCCGTTAGAAACTGGATGGGTTGGAATGTTATGAGAGGCGGCAGTTCGGTTCATTAGGCTTGCTTGGTTGCTAGTTTGTAATTGATGTCATGATACCATCTAGCCATTTTCTATACTTTTTTTAAGACAAAGGGTGATGGTTTTTTTTGGACTGGCCACTGGCCACATCTCATTTCAGTACTCGGATCTTTCTTCGGAGTGAGTGAAGTGACCTCCAGCTGTGTATCGCTTTGCTCGAAATGGACACATTAATCAGATTTAATGGAACGCTAAATAAGGATTTTTGTTTTAATTTGCCAGTAGTTATTCCTTCACTTAATTTTCTGATTCATTTCCTGAACAGATTTTTCCAAAAACGTGCGTATACAAATAACCTCCTGAGGTGCAGAAGACCTCATAAATGCTGGAAAAGAGAATGACCTCCTCCAGTTCTGTCATTGAAAAAAAAAAAAAAACTTCTAAAGGCAAAGGCCTTGTCTTATTATTCGATTTGTCTCCATTTTCCCTTCACAGCCACTGTTTCGGAAAGGCAACACACAATCACAGACCTTCCGCCTCTTTCTCTCCCTTTCATGTCTGTTAGTGCCCTGGAAAAAGGAAAAACAGACAACAGGGTTACTCCCCATGAATTCAAAACAAAGCTCTGTTCCCTACACGCTGGATGTACTTTATAAGTATGTAACACAAAGTGAGATTAAACTGAGCACGGAAGCAGCAGCTAATTTGTCAGTGCTTTCTGCAGGGTATTTGCATGATGACAATGGAGTCCAGACCACAGAAGCAGTCCTGCACCCATGTTACTCCCACAGCTCGCTTTCACGTAGTACGTCCTCCAGTTCCACGTTCCTCGCCACCAACTCGACCTCTGATGAAACTCTTTCTGGTACGTTGTTTGTTGCTTTGTTGATCCCGAAGTTGGTTTGTATAATATCTCTTTGACTCTGAAGTAGTCTGTTTAGCCCAACTAGTATAGCCAATTGATCCTTGGCTACAGCTGAATAACTATTTTGATAGTTTCCATTGCTTTCAGGGTAATTGTACTGTAGCATGTACGGTAGCTCAGTATGAACACAGCGCATGTTTTAAGTAATGTAAACATAACTACAGTACGTTGGTTGGTCTTTTGCCTTTCTGTACATCATTCTCTTTGGTTGTATAGAAAATCATAGCAAAGAATGTACTATTTGACACAGCCCATGTTAAAAAGTGGGATCAGTCGGTGTTCAAGGCACATCAAGCCCAAGAAACTACATTTATCAGACTTAAGGGTGGGACTCCACTACAAATTCCCTTCAAACAAATTGTTGGATGTCATGACATCAGAAAGCCATTTCAATTCCGATTGGAATCCGTTTCTTACAGTACGTAATATTTCAGGATGTCCCGCTTGAGCAATAGCATCTTACTGGGAACTTATTTTTTACGTGTGCCAGAGAAAAAGTGAAATAATATGATAGATCAATAACGAAATGCATCTTTTTTTTATTTTTAGAATCCGTGGAAGAAAACCCCAGTGCAAATGGGCGGAAGAAGAACGAGGAGGCTGATACCAAAGTGAGGGTGCCCACGCCTGGGTTTCTCACCTTCCCCACGGGAGACTCTGAGGAGGCGTTCTTCTTTCAGGCAGTGCTGAAGGCTGTGCAGAAGTGGTTCAGCTTGTTTGGCTGGCCAAGAGGTCCTCACCCTATAACTATTCCTCAGTCTTTGAGATGGTATGTGCCTTACATTTCTGATGTAAGATGTTAGGGGAGCCAAAAGTTTTCATGTGTAGCTTACTTTTTTTTATTCTGATTTTCCTGGGCGCCTCTCACACTCGTCTGACACGCTTGCTAGGTACCAGAATTGAAACAAGGACAAAAGAGAAGGGGCATGTCCCAATTCCGTTTTCCCAACCAGCCTCTCTGTAGAATAATGCTGCATATCCAGGCGCTACCAGCAGGGAGATGAAAGTAGTCTGAAATAGTCACTGTTCACCTCCAGGAATCACAGAGCAGAAAAATGCATCTTTACTCAGTCATGGTTGGCACAAGATTGAAATAAGGTCAGATGAAATTGCCTTTGCTGGAATTACTGCTGGAGAAAAGTGACAGAAAGGAACGGGGTCTTTGTAACTTCTGTTTTCACATTATGGTAAATTCCGTTTGTCTCCATTTTGAAACTTAATGCGAAACCATAGGTACATTTTCAGCTCTGTTTTGTGACAGCCACAAAATCCACATCATGAAAATAAGCTACAGTATGGTTAAGTGCTTGCTAACACTAAACTATAATTGTGTAGTAGACACATGAGCTGAGTTGTAGATATCGGTCTCAGTGAAGAGCAGAATAAACATTTCTGAAAATTATTTCTAAGCCCATCTGATCATTCTATAACATGGCAGCTAGAATTTTGGAAAATGAATGTATGACATCCAGAGACCCCTAACAAGTTTTTGGGAATCAGCAGGCTCCTCAAAACATTTTCAAGGAGACCACAGTATACAGTAGTTTGAACATTCGTGTGCAGAAGGTGTCCTTCTTTATCTTTTTTTAGTTTCTTTTGAGAGGCCTGGCCCTTTGAGGAGACTTGGCTGAGTGCTAAAGTGATTCATCATACAGTACATCACTGCCATCTTTATTAATATTAATAGGATGTTATTACAATTTTTCATGTGGTAGTCTGATACAGTTTGGAAGAATTGCTGTCTCTGTAGTGGATTATAGGTTTCATCTTTGCAACGAGATCCGAAGGGCTACAGTAATGTATATATATAGTCGCTGTTTATTTCGCTGATCATTAAAAATTGTTTTAATATCTAAGCTAATGGAATGACGATGCACATTGAGTGCCTTCCAAAGAAATGTCTTGTTGTACTTGAGTACACGTTTCCCTGAACTGGAATTGGTGTCCAGGAATTACCCTGAAATGATAAGCATTTTTCTGTACTGTACATACTGCTGCAGCCAGCTGCAGTAGTTAAGTGATGTGTTATTTATCCATATCATGTTTTTACCTTTTCAAATTCAATGTATTCTGTTCATTGCTTTTTTTCACCATACAATAACTACATATTATCTTTCCCTAACACGAGAGACATTGCAATGTAATATAGAACACAAGGTAGTGAAAACTTTCTCCTCCAGCTAGTTCGTCTGAATATAATGATCTCAACTAAGACAGTGTGACATAGCACTCACCTTGCTTTCTTGCTCAGAATGAAATAGGCATAGCGTTGCTTGAATTAGAATATCATGACACCTTCATGGGTGAATGTCTTGGTGGTTAAACTCTAAGCTGAGGAGAATGATAATGGAGGCTGCAATGTATAAGGAATTGGCAGTAGATCCTCTTAAGAATTATGTCAAAGCAGTGTTTCATTCCTGTTGACACCTGGAGAAGGCTCCACAGCCCAAATGCTGTGTTTCTTTTCTTCTCTTTTCAGCATGGAATAAACCTTTACTTGTTCCTTTATTCCTGTTAGTTATTTGGGTAGTTAATTGAATCTAGTGACAGACCAATGTAAATTAACCATAACAGCTTAAAATGAAAAAAAAAGGATTGTATATGTCAAGAAACAGAATTTAGCAACTTATTATGTTTGTCATTATTACCACTGTAATTACTATAGAATTCTATTATAGAAGAAAAAACATTTTATCATGTTAATTTCCCTGTGCACGCCTTAAACTGCTGAGCAGTCATATAATGTCAAACAGGTTGCAGATTTATCTTCAAGGTTTTCAGTTTTAGTCTGTTTCAAAGAGTAGAATGCTTTAGTGCAAACTTTTATTGAATAATAAAACACATGATCCATTCTAATTCCGCTTCTGATAATATAGTTCAAGCATAACTTTAGGGCATCTGTAAAATGTAAACAGATTATAAATTCAGTTGAATTAAATAATAAGGGGATAAAGCTTTGTGCATGTCTTCTTATCATAATACGGTACATTTCTAAAAGTTCCACCCAAGCAGCTTGTTAGTTCAGTTGATAATTCAATAAAGCAATGAACTCTGCTGGAATAAGAACCAACAGGTATGCGAATTGGCCAGGGTTCAGAACCCCTCCTTTAAGATCCACTTTAATTCAGCATTTCGTCTCTTGATCCATGAGGATATGTTGCAGTCTGTTGCAATTGCAAATCCTTCTATTGACCAACTCATGCAGTGCCCTGCCTCTGTGCTGTGTACTGTATAAGCTTGAGCGAGCTTCTAGAGGAGCCTGAGGCCTCCCTACAGCTGTGTCCTGCCTACATGTGTTCTGGCTATTTCTCTGTTTAAATATATTACATAAGGAATTGCACAATGAACTGCATATTCAGTGGCTTTGCTTAAGTTCTAGAACTGAAATCTAATGTTACATTACAGTCACCTACAGTAAGTGACCATTAACATTATAATAATACAAAGTCTGTTCAGATACTAATATTTTTTAGAATGACCTAGGCAATTGACCCACTATTTTTCAAATATACTACACTGCCCCTCCATACAATCTATGTTGAAAAAATAACAGATCTGAAGTGGAGTCCAGGGTGAAACCAGGCATTTCTTCAGATGTATGAAGTTGTATTTATTGGTTAGATGCTGTGTACTAACACGCTCCCATGGGATAGTGAGTTCTGTGCGATTCTCAATCCTTTTTTATAAAACAGGAGAGCTAAAAATTCCTGGGGGTTTCTGTGTTTAGAAGTGATGCCAACTATGGGATAATTAACAGTAAAACGATTATACTACAATCAATAAATAAGCATTTAAGAAAGTGTATATGCAGATTGTGTTAAGCTGTTAAAGAGATATTTATATGGAATTGTATGGATATCTTTATGGAAAGTTCTTCCACTTTTCCACACCCTTCCGTTTCCTTGGTTTGTTTTTCTTAAGGGTAAATATAGATGGTGTTGGGTTCACAGGGAATTCAGGACCTTCAGATCTTGCTTAATTACCAGAGGCAATAATACAAGGTTTGTGCTCTTCCCTGTAGTGCGGTTTACAAAGTTCAAACATCCGGCTCTGCAGACAGAAAGACCACCTACCAGGTCAGCCACGAGAAGCATGCCAAGACCATATACGACATGCTTCTCCACCTGAGTGGACAGATGTTGCCAGGAATCAACACAAGCCAGTCGTTACCCCATGATCTGAGTAAGAGAGTTTTACAGCTTCACGGCCAACATTCTACACTCCTCACCTTTCTCAAGTAAGTACAGTACATGCTCAAGCATTATAGTGAAACTGACACTCTGGCCTTACATTTACTTTTTTTCAAATTGGCTTGGTCAAAATGTATCTGCAACAGTGGCACGAGTCAGAATTTATGGATAATGAAGAAAAGAAGTGAACTATGTCTACCGTAGGTGAATCTTTTCTTTATTAAATGACACAGACCGCTGGAAAGGCTTATTGAAGAACAGCATAGAAAAGTATGAATTTCGATGACAATTTCAAAATAAAATTGTTGTGATATGTTTGGATGGCAAAATTTGGATTTGCTTCAAAATTGTCTCACAAAAACACGTGTCAAAGCTGCTCCTCGGATTTTCTGGTGCTGTTTGAACATAATCCTCAGAATTTGCGTTGTTCTTAATTACGTTTAGGTGATCTGATCCTTGACCAGATCTCAGCCTATCTCATCTTTTTAAGATGGGGTATAAATTATATGTAATACATGTATATTGAAATCATGATTAAATGCAAATGTGATTAAAATGAGTACTGAAGCTGCAATTTATCAGATTTTTTAGTTTGTGTTCGATAATTGTGTTGGGATTGCACAAATGTGCTGAAAATGCATTAAATTGAGTGTTGCAAAAATTATAGTCGATCATTTTTATAACAACATCTTCCTTTCAGGAGTTTTGTCTTTAAAGAGTTTTCAGCCATTCCTTTAAGAAAACGACGGTATTGGCTTCTTCCTTAGGTCTAAGTAGCTTGTTCCAGAGCCCTGAAACTCTATCAGCAAATAATAATTTAATAAGAATTATACAGCAGGTTTGCAGTAAAAGAGCATGGCTTTTAAAAGTGACATTAAGGATGAACCTATTAAAAAAGCAAGTCACAATAAGTGGTAATATAGGCAAAAGCAAAGGCATTTTTAAACAGCAGTGGTTGCTTTCTAAGATGAGGCAATTATTGAAAGATATTCACTTGTTATTGCTTTTCTTTCTTACTGCAGCAGCTTCAAATGTCGGGTCCTTCTTTGCCTGGGAGTGGACTAAAATATGTTTCATAGAGACTAAAAATTTGAGTTAGCAGTCAGTGTACCACATGTTATATTGATCAATTGTACACTTTAAACAAGTCTTGCAGTCCTTTCCATTTCACATTTAAAAGCTTTTTATAAGTGAAAGAAATATGTTTTCTAAAGAACCATTTATTAATTTGTGCTTGCTTGATAAATTTTAATTTAGTTCCATAGTAGTGTTCTACTGTACCCAGACTTTCCAGTAAACTGTGTTCAAGGGCTTTTAAAAACTGTTTTAACAAGAAATGAATTTCAAACATTCTGTAATAGTCAGCAGAAATGACTAGTGTTTAATTTGCATTCTGCAAGTTCAATACACCAGATTCAGTGTCATGAAATGTATGCTTTAGTGTTTTGAATGTTATGCAATTGAACACTATACAAAGGTACTGCATAGAAATCCTGATGTTTTATGGCCTTCTTCTTAGGCTGCAAGGAGCATGCCTTTCATATGTCAAACCAGAGTTCCTGTTTGAACCGGAGGATTTTAAATACTGGACAAAATTACAGGTAAATAAAAATGTCATCTTATATAATTGTAGTTACTTTGTTAGGAACAAAATACTCAGCAGTATGCCTAAGTACAAACGCTGAAGGGCTCTTTTAGAGTTTCTAAAAAATTAATCAGCTGTACAAGGTATGCTGGGCTTGGATTGCTTTCATTTTGTCACACTGAGAAAATGAAAAGCTCACACACTTATAGGTTCTCCTTTAAGAAAACAAAGGCAAAACCAGTTCAAAAAGAGTGTAAAGTTATGGTTTTTAGATGTGTTATATATTATTAAACTTATATTTTGCCTCAGTAACGCATAATAAAAATGACATATTTTTAATCTGTATTGTATAATATATTCTGCCCTGCTGTTGCTAGGTGGTAGTGCCGGCAGTTATACTACCATTTATCCTGACTTTATTAGACCTTAGAAACTAAGTAAAGCGAGGTCTGGCACAGTGAGTTTCGGTGACCTCATGGGTTGCTGCTAGAAGTGATATTGATCTCCCAGTAGGTGGCGTTCTTCCCTCTTGGTCATGAATTAAGCAGTGCTCTAGCATGGTGAGAGGGGACACCGTGCTGGAGTAAATACGGCCTTTCAGTTTAGATGTTAAAACAAGGTCTACACTATTTAAAGACGCCACAGCACTATTCGTAAGAGAAGGGATGCTAACCCTGCTGTTTTGTCTAAATTGCACTTCAAGCTTGCTCATTGTACTGTAGCCCCCCTTCAGTAATTCTCTCCCTTGATTCAGTCGGTAAAGTCATTTCTTGTCTCTTCACCTGATCTGTTGTGTAGTTGAGCGGTTAGCCTTGACTGACAGCTGCACCTCTCCCTGCTCTTTACACTGCGCTTTAGTGGTCAATGAAGTGTATCACCTTCTATATACTGTATAAAGCACTGTTTTATATACCAGAAGAACATAATGAGAAGAGGGCTTCCAGCCCAGCTGTCCTCATTGGTTTTTAATTTATTAATTGATCTCAGGATCTTTACCATTTCTTGAAAGAAGCTACAATATGGGTTTCAAAAAGTTGGCAGGATGGACATGACATGATATTTGTATTTTTCCTTTTTCCAGGCGTTCATTGTTCCACGTACGGGTTTAATTTGTGACCAAAGACCGAGTCTGTCTTTGAATCGTTTCATTTTTTATTAAAGAGTTTACAGTCATCAGCTCTTAATCATCTTGTCTCCATCGTTTGTGGCTGTATGGAAGACTTGAAGATAACATATACAAATTATCCAGACATTGCACTGCCAGCCTGTCTGCTTTTTGACTTTGTGGTGCCAGCAGCACCAATAGAAGACCTTAGTCATTAAAAGGATAAATAATATTTGCTAGGTTCCAGTAGTTCCAGGGCTTCTAGCACAGTGTGCCAAGGATACCCTGGCTAATTCAAAACCACTCAGCTGTGGCAGCACTCAGAAAGCAGTGCCCCACTATTGCCAGGTCATATCAGGTTGATGGCATACACCACAAATGTATGGTCAGACCCACATCAAAATGAGTTAATTTTCACTGATTAGTCTCATACTGTAAGTGCCCATTTTCACTGGTGTGTTAATCTCATTTTAAATTGTAACACAGGAGGGCTTGGAGTTCATCAACACACTTGTTCTGCAAGCATACCAACAATTCATTTGAGCTTTTATTGCTTTTGATTTTGTATGAAGGGTTGATCCCTAAAAAGTTGAATGTGCTGCAGTTTTAAGACAGGTACCGTAACTTATGTGAACTTTTTTTAAAGCAACAGAAATGTGAGTTGTTAAAAGTATGTATAAATAGGAACTAGGATGTGAATGTGGACTCAAGAAGTCAACCTAAATCATAGACAAATATAAATCGTAGACACACATTGTATTACTGAAGGCATGGAGCTCAGTTCAGGAGCCCTGATGTGGTTTTCCTGCATCCATTTTCAGAAAACACTTTACTGAGTGTAAATCAGCATGTGTGAGGTATACACTACAGTAACTGTAAATATCAACAGTTAAATGATAACGTCAAGAGAATCCATGAGAAAGGTTTGTATTTATAACTCGGGGTAACATGTGCTGTTCTGCGTCACTGGCCCAGGCTCAGACAGACAACGGAGATGAGGAGTTGAAGAGGCAGCAGGCTGAGAGTCTATATGGACTGGATGACATGTCATTTGAAGCCCTTAACAAGCGTGCATGGACTGACGTACTGCTTCAGATGTACAAGGTAGGTTGGATTAGCCTAGCACACATCAGCTCCTTCTTACAGAGGGGGGAAGCACCCATGAGAGCCTTTATTAAGACCCAGGAGTTTTCTTGCATGTGTCTTTTGAACCCATTTTTTTTTTTAAGAGTGACTGATTAAAAAGAAATATTATATGAATCCACAAAAGACAACAGGACAGTTCATTTCAGTTTTTTTTTAAGATTTTCGAGAAAATGCTGACTTTATGGGATGGTGTAATATTTTGCCGCAAAATGCTATAGAATATTATGTGATGTGATGTTTTGAATATTTCTTCTTCTGCATTTCAGTTTAGGAGCCCTGTCCAGAAAACAGGTATACAAATAATAGAGATATGAAAGATATGGAAGATTGCCAGTCATTAAAAAGAAAACATTTAGCAGCATTAAACATTTCTTTGAGTATGAGGTTTTTTTGCGCTCTCTCCTTTTTGCGTAACATTGTTTTCTCCCCTTTTTTTAAGGTGCTGGTGCTTTCTCGTGTTCCAGCAATTAACACTAGCCACCACTATGAATGGGATAATGTAGAAAACATTCCAAGAATCAATCCTGATCCTCTATCCAGCAACATTTATTCAACATCTGAAAGAAAGCTTCTCACCTGGATGAATTCTCATTATGAAAAAATGAGATCCATAGTGTGGAGTGACAGTTACTCTGGTGATAAAGGTACAGTAGTAAGGTGTTGTCCTGATTACTTGATTAACATTGATATCCGTTTTCTTGCCAGTACGTTTGATGTGTTGGCTCTCAATACAAAGCAAAGTGAAAATAAATAAAGCTACAAGCAATTTCCCTGAGGGTTAGAAGAAAAACATGTATACAGCACATTTTGGTTGGCAGTGAAGCTGCCAGTTTGGGTTGTGGCCATCCTTTAAGAAAACAGCCTATTGCAGAGATGACCAGTAGACTTCTTTAGGAATGTCACAATTCCTGATTAAGGTATTTCTGTAGAAACCTTTAGCTCAACCTTTTATCTCCAGCACTTCTTATTGTGTCAATAAATACATACGTCTAGATTTGCATGTAAATTGAAATACCTTATTGAAATCTTTGGATAAAAGTACACCAATAATAGTTCACATATCTTTACATGTATTACTTACATTTACCGGATTTTCAAAATTTCTAGGATAGGATAGTGTTTTAGTTTAAGGATTAAACTAAAATAGCATTTTGGATTAATATTAGTTAAATATTAATGTAGGCTTTGTGGAGCTGTATCCAGTTACTAATCCAGATACAGGTAGTGTATCACTAATGGACAGACCAAGATTGAAACTCATCTTTTACGGAAAGTGCTGCAGCCAGCTTTTTTCATACAAATTCAATAGACAGCAATACAAATTCACATTACCCTGATAACAGAAACCTGAAGAACACAACAGATTCACCTCTTTAATTCACGTCCCGCAGGACTTAAGGAGTCGTAGAAGTGCTTGTGAAAATAATAAGGTTTCCTTGATTTAGCTTGTGTTTAATTTGCTTCGCTGCTTAGTGTGAGACTCTTAACATTTGAAGCAGGGTAAATATCTTTTTTAACCAGGAGAAGTACCTTCTCCAGTAAATCTGCCTGTAGCTTTTACACTCTTGAGCTCTTAGATCTGATATATTATTTCACTTTTAATTTCTAACCAAAAGGATTTGACATAAAAGGTATTTGTTTGCAATTAATACTTTTTAACAACCTCATTAAGGGTTTTATTCTGAGAAGGACTTTTTAGCACAGTACTTGGAAGCACATAATACATAATTTAATTCTAACTTTAACACATGTTACTGAACTACGTTTTCACAGACGACTGCTGAATGTTGGCAGATTTTTTGATTGATAAATAAAGACAATGTACAGTTTGTGAGTTTTATCTGTCACACGAGGTAAGATTTATCTACTGTTAGGACTCGGCGAGGACTAGATGAAGGATAGCTAAAACATAGAATCGCAAGGGGGTGTACTGTCCTTTCACTGTATACTGTATATAGGGTAGTTATACATTTAAGATGTGAAAGTGTCACACCGACACTTTTTATAGTGGGGCATCACTTGCTTGACAAAAGCTGCCTCACATCAGGAGCTGCTCCTCTTCAAGAACTGTTTGGCAAATGAACTCCACACTTGGTGGGTATCACTCATTCACTTTGTGTTACTGTATATTTAAAATTGTGCATCACAAATAGGACACTTTTTACCGCTGTTCTCTGAAAAGTAATGGAACAGCGTTAATCCTCCTTTGTGAGGATAGACCATTTGTCCCATCCAAGAGGTATTGCTTAGATCTGATTTCTTTTTCCGTGGTAACCATCTGCACGAGAAGCCCTGATTAACTCCATCGATTGTGTTCACAAAACACTTTACAGCCCCGATATCAGACCGCACAGTGGTGTGGGCTGGCCAAGGTGCAATCACTCTTTTAATTCATACCTCACAGAGTCGGGAAATTCTGTGATTGCAGGGAGGTTTGAGACCCATAAGATAAATGAAGTAAACCTTGACTGTGTCATCTAAAATCTCATTTTATTGTAGTTGACTCTGACTAAATCAGTTTTTTGGTAATTGAGTAGCCGTTGAAAGCTTCAATACCTAGCTTGTGTCAACCTCGAAAGTAATTACTTTTGATTTCTTTTTCCTACCAGGTGCAGCCTGAATCAAATGACACATAGTAGTTGAATGGTTCTTGCAAACTATACAGTAGAAATTCAGTTAAGCTCATTTGAGCTCTATAATTTCTATTAAAATAAGAATTATTAAGCTAAAAATAGAATTTCACTTTACATATACCACCTTTCTACATTGCATAGCACCAAAACAAAAGCCCATGTACCTTTCGATTAAAAAGATTAATCACTGCAGAAATAAGGTATGGTTGTTTTTGTGTGCAGACATGTGTTGTGTAATTGACTTTGATACATGGTGCTGAGTAGAAGAGACCGTTGTCACACCTGAGTGGAATGGTGTGCATTTATTTTTCGGTAGCCAGGCAAAACTGTTGCTTTTGAGTGTTTTAGGTGAATGTACACATACTGGCGCTTTTGTGTTTTTAATTTTTTTGTCTTGATAACCAGGGGTTGTCATGGCAGAGATGCCTTGCCTTTCCTTAAGATGTGTTTAAAGATCTTCTTTGCACTTATCATCATCAGTGAGACCGACCACCCAGAGGACATGAGCAGAGGCTAAGTGGGAGTGCATTTGAAACTGAGAACAGGAGGCGCTTCTTAACACCTAGGGGTTAGGGAATATGTAACAAGCTGTCCAGCCATGTTTTGAAGCCCATAACTAGGCTTCTTTCGAGAACTAACTGAAGGAGATATTGGCCTCGATTAGCTAAATGGGCTGAGTGGCTTTCTCATGTTTGTCACCTTTCTTATGTTCAAATAATAAAATACGCGTTTTTGCATTTCAGTCAAAGATCCGCATTAAAGAACACACCAGTGAGTGCTAAATTAGTTACGCAATTTACGAGAAATACTGTAATGTATATGTATTTATTAAAATGTGGGATTTGATAAATATAATGTAAACTATTTTACATTAAAACAAAAAATTGAACACCATGTTGTTGTATTCGTAAAGTGGAACAGAGAAAGATGGACCTACACAGACTGACATACAGTACTGACTGACTGGCCTTCTCTCATTTGTAAACAAAATAATTCACTTACAGTAATTAGAGTATTTCAATAACTAGCCTTTATATACATTGAAAAAATGCACATTTGTCTAAAAGATAAAATGATGTATTCTGTAATACACAGTACATTTTGGTTAAATGCAAAAGTTCAACTTCATGCTTCATCCTTAACTAAGCTTGGTTGTCAGTTGTTTCATGTCCTCTCCCACATTATCAGAGGCTCTGGATTTCTTGGAAGTTTGGGCAGAAAAAAAGTTTATAAAAAGGGACACGAATTTCTTCATGGCTGTCACATGGATAAAGCCTAATTTCAAATCTTAAAGCGAGTTTCAGATGGGATCAGAAAGCAACACGCATCAGAGTTAATGCTCTTTCTTGAAAGAACCTGTCAAACGGGGAAATAAAAAATGATGTGCATCACATCTTTGAAATTAATTATGAATCCAGCTGTTAACGAAGGACAAGGCCAACAGCTTCTATACACTTCAAAATTCAATTTTTGCCATAACTTTAAAATGTATCATATTTTTGGCATATTATACTGGCTTCTCATTAACTTGGGCCATGCCATCTTCATTTAAGATTGATAACTTCGATATAGCTTCATTTATTAAATCTATTGCATACAGTACCTGTGCTCAGAGCATTTGAGAGACTTTAATCATTTTTTTCAACAGTTTTTTATTCATCTTTATAAGATATAGTTTATTAAGTGCAGTTTTTATTCAGTACTGTATTAATGGATGCAATATTAACTTAATTTGTTTTCAAAGTATTTTCTTTAATTTTAGTTCTTGATTTATACCTTATGTTATTTACACAGTAAGTACACTGCATGTACTGTACATCTTAAAGTTTTGTTTCTTTCTGCCAGCAGAGGAATAGATAATTTAATATTATTCATACTGTAGGTTGCTTTTAAATACAATTTGGCATAATTAATAAATGCAGAGCTTCAGAAAGACAATGCAGATCTTTAGAACATAAACTGTCTTCTTAATAATTCTTGCATTACAATTGTGATTGTGTGATATTTTGTTCTTGAAGCAGGTTTCACCTTTATGTTGTTAATGGCCAGTCAATCTCTTTTGTTGATGAATTACAGTACCTACTCACTAAAAATACAAATATAGCCATTGGTATGCGATTTGCAAATTCAGTTCTAATGGGCACAGAGGGGAACTTTTGAGATGGTATAAGTGGTTAAGCAGGTGTGTGAACTGACACTTAACTGGAGCGGTGTTAAATAGTGTCAGTGTAAAGAGGGAAAAGTTATGATCATTAATCAAATCTAACTAAAGCACCCTTTTTCATTCAACAGGCGATGGACCCCCTTCAAGATGGATAGTGAACTTTGACCTTGATCTTGCAGATGGTCTGGTATTGGCAGCTGTGCTAGCAGCATACTGCCCATTCCTGGTTTGTAGTTTTCTCTGCTTCTCATATCTGCAGATCACAGCTGTTTTGAAGTATTTTTACACAGTGAAAATATTTGGTACATATATGAAATATGACTCTTGGAATACTGATGAATCACCAAACCTCTCAGAAGTTCAAATACTATGTAAAACCTGTTTTTCTTTCAAAACCTCTCGTTTTTATAACTTCACATATTGTGATTTTAAGATTTTGTTCACATCATTATATTTTGTACTGGTTTGTTGAATAGATTCTGGCCATTCCACTGGAGCCAAAGTACTCCAGTAAACACAAATCAGATCTCATTGAGGAGAATAGAGTAATGAAGGCAGTTCATAGATAGGAAATATTAGGAGGCCATGATTGCTAAATCCCAGGGTGGAATTTGGCCACAACGCTGGGGTTAACACCCCTACTCTTCTCAAGAAATACCTCTGGGATTTTTAATGACTACTGAGAGCCATGACCTTGATTTTAGGTCTCATCCGAAGGACGGCGCCCCTTTTCACAGTATAGTGTCCCCATCACTATACCCAGGGATTAGCACCCAAACAGACTATTGAGGCATAGAAATAACATTAAAGGAAGCAAACGTTTTACTTAAACACTCACCAAATGCCTAATAGAGAATATTTTAAATCCACCTATAAGTACAGTACTATAGTGATATAATGCTGAGTTTAACTAAACATGATTTATCTACAGTATTTTATGTTATTTGTTGCAATAAACATAAATACATTTATTTTCTTCCAGATTTCAACTCACTTTAAGAAAATGTACACACATTCTGTGAGTCCAGAACAGTGCCTACACAACAGCCTGGTCTTGGTCAGTGCTTTCCAGGGCATCAGTCTTGATATAGATATCCAGGTAATCCATAGACTGGAACCAGTAGTGCTGAACATACAGTACTGTATAGCAGTTCATTCTGGATGACTATTCTCCACATTCATAATGCTGCAAAGCTCTATTTCTTTTTGAGAGTTTCTATGTACATATATGTTGTTTTTATTATCAAAGTATTTACTGTGCCTGACATCTTTATCCAAGGTGATTTAGATATAAAAATAAATTGACTATAAAATATGGAGAAACAATACATAACACACTGTTGTAAAGCAAAATACTTTGATAAAATAAGCATAGTAACTAAAAATCACAATACATTATAAGTAAAACATTACCATTTTTAAATGAGTCATAGGCTCGAAAAGAACAGATTCTACCAAATAAAAATGGAGACAAATACAGTACAAGACACAGAAAGATAGAACAAGACACAGGCTCCCATGGGACTGTGCTTATTGTACTGAGCATTATTTTGTGAACCTCTTGCTAAATTTTGGAAGAAACAAATTAATTAGAAAATCAAAAATGTCCACTTCAAACATTGTAAATGAGATTTGAATTGGCTTCTCAAGTAGTATCTGATTTTCTTCCACATCTCTTATCATAATAACATTAAAAAATGTTTATTGTTGATGCTAATTTCTAGTGGTCTGTTTTTAAGCCTAGCAGGCACTACTGTTGCATTTTATAATACATTCTGTCAAATACTGAGATTGAAGTTAATTAATATTATGTTAACGCCATAGGTGGCCTCATTTCTGTGATTCAATATTTATACCTGCTGTTTAATGTACTGGCTTCACCAAGATCTGTCAGTACATAATGTGATTCACTGCTAAGACTTCTATGCCAACAGTCCATTTATTGTTGGAGTTTCACAGCTGTTTTGTGCCTGCACTGCACATTGGTACCGGTATCACACAGAGATCCCCATAGAAAGACAATTCTTGTAGAGATGGCAGACTTTCAAAAAATTGTGTTGGTAGAAAGCCTTCCAAACCATTATTTCAGAAGATTATGTTTTTTAAATATAAAAAAATAATATATAAGGTTATTTCCCTATTTTTTTCTTTGACATTATTTTTAAAGGAGACAGTAGCTACACAATTTACAATTCACAATTAAATCATAAATTATATTCTAGCCCGAATTACAATTGTCTATCAAAATCTTTTCCCCCACTCTTTGAAATTTGTTACTGCATTGTATTGATTTGATCTGAGCTTTGTGCTTTGAAAGTCCTTGCTTTATATATCTGTTTGCCCACAGGCTACTGAAATCTCTGATCCCAATCCTGTCCTCATGTTGATGGTTTGTGTTTACCTGTACGAGAAACTGCCACAGTATATTCCCAAGGAGACAGTTTATTTTGTTGGAAGCCTGCATGATACAATAGTCAGACAGGTGGGTGGGATAAAGACAATACACCTTTAAACCAGCTGCCCTTGTTTCCCAAGATTTAGTTGACAAAACATTACTAGAAATGGTACCTTGCTTAGATGTAATGCATAAAAGACTCACTTTTGAATTTTTTTAATTTAATGGAGCATTTTGAAAGTTTCTCACTTCCCTCTGTCTTGTTTCAATTGCAATATCAGTATTATGAATCTCATATTATTGCTTCCTATGAAATGTACAGGTAGTACTAATATTAACCCCAAAATTCTTTAAATATTTAAGATATACATGTACTGTACTCTATGGGCGATTTTTATTATTCAGGATAATTTGGATTTAACATTTTTCAATGAGCACAGGTTTAAGCAGTTGCTAAGTGACTGTTTTATAAAGTCCTTGGACTTTATACGAAGATTGATTTCATGTTTATAGTGATACAAAAAAGACTTTACTGAATTAAGTGTGGACCTGTCAAATCTTTTAATAGGTACGACTGAAAAATCCAAGCTTAAAGCCATTGGTGTACAATGCCACAATTGTGGGGCAAGACTCTGACAACTTCTCTATGCATAAGGGAAGCACAGTAATTGTCCCCTCAAAGTAAGTAATTTCAACACTGTCTAGTTTGTATTTCCTGGAAAATCCTTTTAGAATTATATCTGAACTTAAAAACATTAATTAAATAATGCAAGTTCTTTGATTTTGTCTTACCTTTAGAAATGCAGCAATTTAGAATGTTAGCTTGTTGTTTTACTTTGTCTTGATTAGTGAAATTGAAGGTTGAATTTTGACATGTACAGTATATGTTCAGAAAAAACTTTTTTTCATATTAATATAAAATGTTTATATTATATTATCTTGGATAGTACAAGATATATCCATTTCAATGTAAAGGAATGCTTTGAATTTCTGTCAGACTTGTCATCATTTATGTCTTCTGTTTAACCCATGATTTATAATGTTCATTTTCAAAACCTTCAAAAACCTAATCAGAAAAAATGTCAAGTACTAACAACACCTTAACTCTACAGATATATACATTACAGTACTACAGCTGAAATACATAGGGCTAATCAGACCTTTACTGCTCAGGCAGCATTTACTTTGATAACCTTTCCTCTTAAAATAAAAACTAATTAAAAAATAAAAAAATCTTATTGCAAGTTGTATGGTTTTTGAACTCCTTTCAGAACTAATGTGGTGGATAAATTTTAATTTTGTGTAGAAAAGTCCTTCGTGTAATTAAATTAGACAGTACATCAGGCAGCTGACGGTGAGTGGTACTGTACTGTACAGTATATGTAAATTTGACCCTGCTGCAATAGTAGTCTGAACTACCAGAATTCACCTTTAATCTATAGTCTTTTAATTCCTGAAAACATACAGATATATCACTTTGATATTTTACTTTACATTTATTTTATTTCAGGAGAGTGTGGATGTACATTTTGTAGGTTGTGAGGCTCCTGTACATCCATATTATACCCACAGTATTTATCTGAAATAACTTGATTTAGATAGCAGGAAAGCAAAGATCCCCCTAAACTTTCAATTTACTTTAAACTGTGCTTGTTATTTAGCATGGCTTGTTGGTTTCTCATGCTTATTGTGTTAAGTACTGAAATCCATGTCAATTGACAGTATTTGTTAAAAATACAACTGAAAAAGACCCCTTTAAAATTTGTAGATATACAGTACAGGTACTGAAATTACACTGAGCTGTGAACTGTTAAGTTTACTTTGTTTAGAATACTGTATTCTGTGCAGGTGTCAGTACTGGGAACACTGCCTTACTGCATTCCTGGTCATTACTTATTTCAGTTCTTATTGTTACAAACATCTTAGTGTTTTTTTAGAACCTGCCCTCCTATCACAGCCGTTAGAAAAGGAGAAAATACTATTGAGTACTTTAAGTACAGTAAACATATGCTATCCCTTATAGTAATTTATTTAAGAAACTTAAAAAGCAATTAAAATGACCAGCAACAATTAAAAAACACTAAATACATAACACCTAAAGAAACAAAAAGAGAAACCAACAGCCAGACAAAGAGCGATGCACCGGTTGGAGTATTCTCAGTCACATTTAATGGCAACGTCAGCTCAAAGATTTAATGGCAACGTCAGACCAAATGTCTCCATTTGGTTCAAACCACCAAATGGAGACAGGCATGCCGACAAGTGGACCCTGCTGATGCGGGATTAACGCTAGGATGAGAGAGATATAAGAACAGAGTCTAAATCTACTGTATAATAAAAGTAAACACAGAATGACTGGGTGTGTAAAACAATACTGAGTACAATGCTCCTGGCTTTTTCAAAGCAAGGAGCCACAGATCCTATAGATTCGCTTCACAGTGCCTGTCCTATACTGCACAAACAAATCTTCTCCATAATGGAGATCATCTTAGGGAGTCAGCTCTTGAAACAGATGCATTATATTGTATTTTGTCTAAGATGTGTTTTCAAGATGTGTTAATTTCTCCCCTTATTCATTTGGTGGTCATTTTAAAAAGCAGTCAATTTTGTTTGAGGATGTCGTGGTGTCAACTTTGTGTGAAATCATCGCCTTGCAGGGGACAGATGGATGTGTCCGTGCAGCTCACAAGCTATTTTCTACGACCCATGGAGGCCATGCTGCTGTTCACCCCCAGAGCAACTTCCGGGACTTTAGGAGGAACCCTGGCATTTTCCCTTAGGTCACAGATCAATAACATCGTACCGAGAGTGAGTAGGAAACCAGACGCTTTATGCTTTGTGTGCTGTCCACATAAGCAGAACCGACAGGCTCCGGGAATACAAGTAGATAGATTCATACTTTGTGGGCATGATGAATAGATGTGTATAGAGCAACGAGAGGCAGATATAAAGGATTAATAGATAACAGCTGTTTTGTAAAGTGACCTTTAATGTAGCTGTGGACAAACCTTTCCTAGATGTTGCTTATTTGATTTTTTTCACTGTATTTTTCATTGTGCTATACATATTTTTTTTCCAGGGTACTTTGAGGTGCAAATCTCCATGTTATGAGGTGAAGAAAATCCTTTTGAAAGTGACGAATCCTTTCAGTAAAGATGCCAAGTTCAGGTGGGTTCCTTTGAAGCCCAGAGAATGTAAAGAAGTGACTGAGAGCTCTTATCATTGGAACTGCTTGGGCGTCCTCTGTAGCTTCTACATGATTTCACATGGAATGAATCAGCTTTGATGTTACTGGCCGGGATGTTCTGTCATAATGTCTGAACCCTGGTTCAGACTGTTATATTGCTGGATGGATTGAAAATATACGTATACCAATTGTTTAATAGTTACAATAGTTCCATTTTAGGACTTGTAGAATGTATAGGAATATATTCATTTTGTTATAGGCAGGCTTATGCTATTACTGATCATTCTGAAAAAAGGAATTGGACACCATTAATTTCCTTATCAGAGGTGTCATTTAATGCCACTTGGTACACTACTACTACCATCACTATTACTCTTCATTACCCTTTGTTACAAGATCACTGTTTTCTTTCCTCTTTATGTCTTGATTCTATGCAAATGTATTGCCAAATATTTTCAGCTAAAAACCCAGAAGAATCTCTTGTTATGTCTGAGTTAATTTACTGGAACAGACCGTTTGAATGACAAAACGTTTGGCATTGTAAGAATTTTATATTCACGTTACAATTTAATGTATATGATTGAATAAGTAAAGATGTGCAATTCCCTGGTTGTTTGTTTATCAGCAATTTGACACTTATCTTCTGTATTAATCATCCATGATAGAAGGGTAGTAAAATACAGTGTAATATACTGTAGCATTTTCAATTGACTGACAATATCAAATTGTCTTTGGATAGGTATATATATTGATATTTATGATAGATATGTATTGTTGTACATTAGATTTTCATGTATAGATATCAATCAATGGACAGCCTTGTCAAGTCCCATCATATATGTTTTTCCTTCTTTTCAGCTTTATGAACTGGAATGAGTTTCAAACTGCATTAAAAAAGAGAAAGCTATTGTCATCCAGGCAGCTGGATAAAAAAAAAATCTAGAATCTTTAGGTCATTTTAAGTGCTTATCAATAAATAGATGCAATGGGGTGTTTGTTATCCCTATCGGCTTACATTCAGTTGTCGTGTATGTAGTGGTGTGGGAGTACGGTCATTGTGGGTGTGAGGAGAGATCATAGTATGAAGGGCTGCTGGCTGTGTTATATGAGGTCTCTGAACGTCTGTGTTTCAGTGTGCCCTGCGGTGGACTGGGGCTTGCGGTGCAGTCTTGTCTTGCTACTTGCGTCTCCGGCGCACGTTTCGGAATAAGCAACTTGCTGATAAAGGATGGAAGGATTTATCCTAGATAAAACTCTCTGTCAGATGAAACAGTGTGATGTTAGGTTTGAACAGACCTGCATCACTTCTAACAGGATTTCATTGTTCTTTTGGGATAGACATTTTTGTTTGGCTGCACCTTTCTAAGGTGTTTTGCTTGCTGCTTGTTTTTTGTTTATGGCCGAGTTTGAATATAAAGGATATCAAAGTCTATCAAACTATGATTTATAGTGTTCTGCAATACCTTGGGGGCATTCCAGAATTGATGGTGTGCTGCATGTGCTTGTCATGCAATCAATATTGTTACCTGGAAGTGAAATCTCCTTCACACTACCTGAACATCATTACTTCTTCAACACATCATTTCTTCAAGGGTACGAGCTCTTGCCTCTTGATGAGAAATCTTTCATATGCTGCGATATGGCCCAGCATGCTGATGATTTCCATTAATCTAGAACTGACTTGACGGGGAATTTTTTTTTTTAAATGTATTTTTGAGATGCAGAGCACACAAACGTATTAAGTGCTTATGTTAAAATATGCTGCATCCCATGAAAATTAATTGAGATTTCACAAATGCAACATTTGTTTTGTGAGCGAGAGCATTCTGCTTAAATCGTTCTGTCATTAATTGTTCAGACTATTTGAGTTACAGCTTTTGAATGATGGATAAATATATACTACATGTGATTATCATAGGTAAGAGTTATGGAGAAAATCTAAAATTTGAACAATTATATTATTAACTTAAACATATATAAATTATATGGGATTACCCCCAGCGATGCTGATCCCCATTTATGGAACTGGTTGGTCTATAGAAACTAGGGTAAAGTACCTTGCTCATTGTACAACTGTTATGGCCCATAAAGTTATGAGACCATAGCTTTTCCCACTATGCTATGCTGCACTATGTAAAGACAGGGGGGAAATTAAATTATAGGTCACCTATTGGCCAGTCCTAAAATCAGAAATGTATTTGCTGTGCAACATGTAGCTAAATTCTTTATGCATGGAAGTCAAACTTTATTTATCAATTTACAATAGTTACATTATATACAGTCAGATCGTTTTTGTTTTCTCTGAAGTTATGTAAGGTCTTGTAATTCCTTAAAGGTATTTCAAGGTCAGAAACTGTACAGTGCATTGTCTGAGTGCTTGTACGTAAGCACACATGGAAAAAGTGTGAAAGCAGCCCTTTTCACAAGTCAGTCCTGAGCATTTGTGAGGCACCAAACTCTCTGTACCTGCTTCTCAGTGCCCATGGTTCCTACTCTGTGACCACAGTATGCTAAGCTCTCATTTGTAGATCTACACCACCTGTGGGTTTTACTTGTGGGTGATGAGGATCCTAACAGTTCCTGTGCTCACTTTAAACCCTCTGACCTTTGACCTAATAATAACTTTTAATTATAAGTGGAAACTTGGGATTCGGTGATGTAAAGACAGTTTTCCTAGCTTACCCCTGTACAGTATATTGATACCATATGCGTAAAAAGATACTATGATACAAAAAGGCTTTCTGCAAGCTGTTGGCTTGGCAAATATTGTCTTCCCTTGTAAGGTAGTACTGTATAGCTATTCTTTTCTCTCTCAGTGTGCATTTTTATTTTCCTCTTTTCTATATAAGTTTTTATATTCTTTATCATGATCAATAAGTAGTAACGTTTTCATGTCCCTAAGCGATTTCATGATTAAATGTTGCTGTGTTCTTTTGAGAACGTAGGGAACAGTGCTTCAGCTGTGACAATTGCCAATGCTGTTCTGATTTCAGAATCGTTTTGGTGGAGTCCAGACAGAATCTGATCAAAGGCACAAACTCAGAAACTGGACACCATCAGGACTCCAAACACAGGTGACAATATTTCTTTTTGTTTTAATTTTATTTGGTTTGTAATACGGAGTAAATGACTACAGTACCATGCAAACATTGGAAAAGGAATCTAAATGTTTCATCTAAAATATTGAAAAAGGCTTAAAGAAATGGTAACTGTTTATGAATAGAATAATTAAGGAAGACATTATTTATTTTACATGATTCTCTTTTAATCAGTGTGAATTCCAAAACCACCATGTGTGTTTCTGTGTCTGTCTGTGCCCTGTGATGGGTTGGCGTCCATGTTGTTGTTATAAGTTTAGTGCTTTCAAGTTAGTAAAAAAAGTACAATTTAGATATTACAGTATCTGTAAATTAAGAAGTACCTGTCTGTGTATACTGAATAGATGTGGCAGGAGGGGGCACCTATCACGTGGACCCCTGGAGTTTTTGCGCGTACGTCCTGTGTGCACAGTATGCGTGTTCTGCTTCTGACCACAGCTCAGGCAGACACACTGATCCTGCAGAGGAAATAGAAATGCTAAAGTGATACTGTGAGCTTTGGATATAACACGCCACCATTTAGCGGGAGAAAAGTGACATTTGATTCAGTCCAAATCTTTTTGGATGCATTCAATTTAAGGAGAAAAGTGGTTATAGAACACCCTGGTTCTCAGAATAGGCCACTTTAATTTATTGTTAAATTGCCATCTGAAAGCCGCAATGGTGCTGTAATCTAATATATGCTGACTGGTCTTTCATTTGTTCTGACAGATCTGCAGCAACCATAAATTTACTGGAGAAAATTATGTATAGAAGATGGTATACAATGTGTCAATTTGTACATAATCTTATGGAGAGTTATTCTGTCCTGCTCTTTAAAAGATTTCAAGGTTTACTTTGGATGCTTTTTCTGTGACAGGCTCTTGTACAGTATGTGAGCACAGACATTCAGTTGCCATTTACTAGATTTTTACTTTTTAGCATTACTTTTGCCAGCCTGCTCTGTTTTGAGATAAGTGGAGTTCAGCTTGCATGAGTGTCCCACAAACAGAATGTACTGTATTTTCAATGTTAAAGCTTAAAATGAAACACGTTAAAATAACAATACAGTATCTGTGAGAAATTCTTTTGATACTACTGTACATCTCCACACGTTTCTAGTCACAAACTACTTAACTGCTCACATCCTGCTTAACAGGAATTAAGGCATTTTTTATCTTATTGATTATAAAACTTTGTGGGTATTAAGTAATAGTAGTATTTTTATTGTTATATTCATAAAATCCATGTGGTACTAAATTCATAGACTCCACACCTTGTCATACATTTAAAAATAATCAGTAAATATGCAGATATAAATTTAGGTTTATGGGCCAAGGTCATTTATATGAAACCTTTTGAATAAATCAAATCAATTATAATCAATATTATTTTCTGACGATTTCCAGACTCCAAAAATATCTAACAATATTAATCATTATTTTGATTGACCTGTTTTCTTGATTTGTATTCTAGATAATACAAACTCCTGTGTGGTTACTACCTCAATATGTAAAAAATAAAGAACTATAGTTATTAAATAAATGAATACCCAAATGGTGATATAAAACATTCTAAAGAAGCAGCATAGTTGAATACAAATTAATCTTCTTTAATTTATCACAAATGTCTTTTAAGTAATATAGCACCTTGAGCACCAGTATTGTACTCTGTATCTCTATTCATTTTCAACCATAATCCCAATGCATCTGGAAAGCAAAGCTGTCATTCAGTGGCTAACTCATTGTCAGGTTCAGACTTTAGTGCTGTCATTTCCAAGTAAAACCAGTGGCAGCAAGGCTATGAATAAGTCTCCTAGATGTGTGAAGGTTTGTTATAAAGCTTTATTTTCCTATCGAACGGCAGCATGCAAGACTTGGCTCGCTCATATACAGTACTTTGACAATATGTCACTAATTTGATTTGAAATCACTGGGCTGATAACAGGTGTCATAATCTTTGAGAAGAAAACAATGTTTATCCCTAAAGCAAACACCGGCTCACAATTTTCTTCTGAAAAGGATTATTATGTATCTAGAATGGCCGGGAGGGCCAGCTCCCACAGTCCCCCTCCCCCTGCTGACAGTAAACAAGGGGTAAAAGCCTTCTGTGGAGTAGAAAACATGGTGGGCTCTGTAACCCTTTGCTGTGCCTGGGCTGGATAGACCAGGATAGCCAGACAGAGCCTGGAGCCCACCATCAGGGGCTAATGACAGTGAGGAATCACAGGGTAGCAGTCTGGCTCAAGACAGAGGGCAGGAAGCACCTTCACTAAAGCTCAGGTAGTGCCAGGACCCATGAGCGACTGCAATCTTAGTCCTTTTCTTGACCCGCCAAACAGCTACATCAGCTGTAATGAGGAAAGCTGGGCCCTTGGTTCACTGGATATGGAGACCACTCTGTAGGGTTTCCTCTCCCCTTCCAGCCCGGGCTCCCTGAAATTCACCCGAGCTCTTTAATCTCCTCGCTGGCATTCGATTCAATTCACGCATCCCATTCAACGTGTGCTTCTTTCAGCACTTTTTTTTTGGAGGTGTAGTGTACCTTTGTGAGTGAGGCTTGGAACAGGCTCCCTTCTTCAGTCAAACATCATTGAGCCTTCTCTCCTGTTGCTCCCTCTCCTTTCTCAGTTTTGGACTTTTCATAAGCAGCGACCTTCGTTGATAGTGGTCTCCTTGGGAGCACTTTGCCGACCATGTGGGCATGCCGTGCTCCAGCATTGGGTAGACTATTGCCGGTGTTCTTAGAACTTGTTTGAGGCTTTACAGCTCTTGCCGGTAATCTAGTCCTTAATATGATCTTTTCACACGTGTTCACAAGGTGGGGGCTGTAGGCTGGGCTTTGGTTGAGGATGTGAGTGTGTGAAGGGATCATTATTCTTAGGTTTTCCACTAAAGGATATTTCAGTCATGTCACCTGATCTCACAGAATAATATTTCCTGCTGGAATCCAGTTAAGTGTCTTTGTTATAATTTTGTTGGCCATTATTTTCACGTCATTAACTTTTGGTGTCTCAGTTTAATGTAGGTTCCGTAAATCTGTTCAAATATATCATCGGGAATGCTAATTTAATTAATTTCGTAAGTAAATCAATCATCAGTTGTCTCTCTACTTTGATTCAGTTCAGTTTCCCCTTCAGCACAGTAGAAAACACGATTTTATTTTTCATTCATTATTGATGGATAAGTGTAAGGATTTTCACTGATTTTGTATACCCATTAACACTCCCATGACCATTGTGTTAATTATAATTCAATGAGAGTCAAGTCGATATTACAGAATGAATTCAGGATCTCTCTGAAGTGCTATTTATGATACGTCTCTTCAGCTTTCCAAAACCAGCTGAATGTCTGCTGTGAGCATATTATGCAGGATTAGATTTATAAAGTAATGAATGAAATAAAATGGGGAAAGTTCTATTGGATTCTTTGACATCCCTACTGCCATTAACAATGCACACTGCAGTGGATCTGCCCTCATGGTAGATGCGCACCAGTGGAAGCCTTCACATCTTGGTTTGCAGTGTCTCCTGACCAATGGTTTTGCTTCAACTGGTCAGGTGGCAGAGGATGCCAGGTCATTTTCCACTGTTTCCAGCTGCAGGGCGCCACCATCTTTTACAAGACTTCTGGACTCTTAATTGAAGATGTTCACTGTAAATCAGATAATCTCAGTAATAGGTTGTAGGAGTACATTTGCAATTTCTTAGACATCTGTGGGAATTACCTGTTTATGTAATACTTCTTTTGAAGCAAGCAAGCAACTTTAAGAAAGAAAAAAAAACACCAATCTATCTGGTGAGAAGCCTTCTTTAGGTGTGTTCAAAGATCATAGCCTTCACTGCTGAAATGTTGTTTGTCTGCTTTATTTTTACTTATCAGTGTGTAATGAACCTGTCTTTGCTCATTTGCTCCCTGCCTGCTGACACAGCTCCCCACTATAATCAAATAAGCAATGTGCAAATTATGGAATACAACTCTAAGAAGCAGTTTTAAATTTGAAGAGAAGTTTCCTGTTGGCTAAATATATAACTCGCCGCCACTCACAATTTAAAATAGAACTAGATTGCTGTTGTGTATTTATTGATATTAGACCATTCATGCAGCAGTTAAATTTAAATTCTGATATATCGCTGTACTTCTATTGTGTTTTGTTGTAAGAGGTTGTTATGTGTTGTTGGAATAAAATGTTAGTTAGTTAGTTGCAGGATGAAAAGAACAGCAATGTAATTTGATATTGACCTGTGGAATCCTGGGCAGCCAGGTTGTAGACTTGTACTGTGAGAGGCACATCGTTGCTCAGGCACAATCAAGGCCAGCATTTGAGAAGCTAGGCAGTAAATCCTACCTCGAATAAACATGTATTCAAAGGCTTTTGGATCCCCTGTGACATTTTCATTGTTATAAGTATGAGCTAAATCAGACTGCAATGTGATTTAGCTTACATTGAGAAGTCTGTCCGTTGAATATGATACACTCTGGAGCATTCTTTGTTGGGGATGATCTTCGGAAGTGCTGCAGTCAGAATTCCCTGCAGAATGCCTGTCTTTGTTGCAGAAGCTATCCCTTGCCTAATTTACTGTGTCATTGTACAGAATAAATACAGTATGTATAGAACAAAAACTAATTAGAGTTGTGTCCAACTGCACAGCCTGCCTTTTGAAAACAAGTTATTATATATTACAAGGGAAATCCATTTAAATTAGGTCCTCTTTACTCTTGACAAATGAAAAGAGGGGATTAAATTGTCTTTGCTTTGCATATCCACAGGGGAAAGTATACATTTTCTTGTTTTGTTTATTTCTTAATTATGCCTCTCTCCTTTTTATGTATTCATTGGAAACTCCTTAGCCAGCATGCTATCTCTACTTAAACACCAAACAGGGTAGTCCCTTTATTTTCAGTGTTGCTCTTTTGGATTTTATTGGCTTCAAATATAAACCCAGATGAACTCTGTTACTTGGCTTTTAGGCTTTTAAATATATTCATTACAGGTCA